CATTTGCGTGCGGCCTGCGCGAAGAGGTTAACCTACATGATCGGGAAAGGTCCCGATCGAAAGAGGAGATCGGGACCTTTCCGTGAGTACCGTGAGGGCGCACGTTCTCAGCCCATATGTTTTTCTTAATTGCGCGCAAATGTGCGGCCGCTCGGCGTCAAGGCCCAGACGCCGGGAAGATGCACATTTGCGTGCGGCCGCCACGAAGAGGTTAACCTACTATCCATGTTTTTTTGGTGCAGAAGTAAAAGCACTGGACTGCATGTGATGTGAACTGGCCCTTGGAGCGTAAACTAATTTCAGGCTTCAAACTCAACACAAAATCATTGATCAATTCCGATAGCCACATAATTGCTTTACATTGAAATAATTAAAGGGAAATTATACTAATTAAATGAGTTTTGTTACACACATTTAAAGATGAATACAAGGACCTGGAATGGTGGAGTGTGGCCGGGGGAACTTAAGGAGGAGAATAGAAATTGATTCTGGGATAAAGAGGCTGCCATGGAACCACTGATCGAATGATTTTCAAATGATTTTCTCTTTGTTGATGAGCAGGATGTTTTAACTGATAACGTTATTGTGAACTAAAAAATCCGATTGAACAACAGTGAAAAAGTTTGTCGTTTCGCATGCGAACGACCGATTTTCTATGCGGTGGTATGACAGGAGTATCAAAAAAAATCTATCAAGCGCTATCACGCATGAGCGGAAACAGAAGATGACCCGGATGTTTATGTCCAAGGAATCTTCGTAAACATGAATGAAAAATCCAAATGTTAAAAGTAGATTGGCCTAATGAGATGATGAAACCAGAATTCTGCAGATTATATTTTATGTATCACTACTTATGTATATAGATCATGTGATAAACTATATTATACTCATTGCTGGTCATTGTTGTGTATATCAATCGTTCTGGCCGGAAGGGCGTGGCTACAAGGTTACACGCACATTGCATCACTTCCACTTGTATGTAAGATGTCAACACTACGTATTGCCCGACGAACGATTTTTTTAGATTGGTTAATGTGGGCCACGATTTCGACCATAGAACGAATGCCTCTCAGTCATCGGATGATCGATCGGTCGATTTTCTAATCATGTATTCCCACCTTTAGAGGAGATAGAGAAAGAATAATTTGTTAGAGTGTGATATTTTTGACGTATAGGGGGTTTTTAAAAAAATCCAATATGGCGTATTTTGATTTGTTCGTGCAAAAGTTACAGCGTCTACAAACTACGGTACAGTATATATACTGGAATTTTTTTTTTCTTTTTAATACTAGTAATGGTGGCGATCAGCGACTCATAGTGGGACTACGATATTTCAGTGGACAATAGGACACTAACCGTATCTATGACACTGGCTAGGAGGGGAAGGGGTTACATCTGATCAAAGGGTTAACTGTGTGCCTAGCTAGTGTTTGATTGTACACTGCTTGGTGCTTTTACTTAGGGAAGTGATGGATCGTATTCCCCAATCAGTATCTTTTTGCTTTGTTTAATGCCTTAAAGTGTAACTAAAGGCAAAACTTTTTGTTAGTTTAGGATAGAGTGGAGAGGGATTAGAACACGTCAGTTTTTATTCCTGTCTGTGATTATCGTCAGCCTTCTGTTCTTCTGTTGCTGTGCAAGTTACCCTGCTTGATTACCCGTTACCAACCCGACTTGACTCTGACCTACTCTTGCTTCTCTCCTGGCTCTGACTTTGGTTTGCTTTACGGATCTGTCTATTCCTGAATGATGTCCTGTGTCTGACCCTGGCTTGCTCCTGACTATGCTTCTGCCTCTGTTCCTGATTGATATCTTGTGTTTGACCCCCTGCCCTGGCTTCTGACTATGCTTCCTGCTCTGCCCATCTGTGAAGATCCACCAGTTTTCCAGTCATCTGCTGTCTCCTCTCTGCCCTCAGGTGTCTTCTCATCTGAAACCACCAGACAACTGCACCACTAGCAACCAATGCTTCTTTGGTCACTGCACCTTCTGTCACCACCTTCAGGGGTGCTTTGCACTTAGCCGTAAGGGGAGCTCTCTCTCGTCACCTCACCTCAGCCTCCAGCTAGGTATGTGACACACAAACTACAGACAATTTTAGAAAAACACATGACATACAGAGTATTACACATGTACAAGCTATTCTTTCTAGCAAATAGGCATGGATAATGTATGTGATGGGCATACAGTTACTTAACGTGGTTCTTCCTGGTGATGGAGTCTTCTTCCTCCTTAGTGATGGATCTCTCCAGACTGCTTCTTGCTTCTTGGAGTCCTGCAAAACCACTAGAGCTTGCGTTGCTCAGCACTTGGCTGTGTTTAAGCCTTTTTTCCCTCCCCCTACTTTCTGCCAAACATCTCTTCCTGTCCTGAGCTCAAGAACCGGTCCAATGAGTTCATTAGCATATGAATAGGTGAGGCCTAGCTTCTACATATATTTTGCTATAAAAATCACTAAAATACCAAGAGCAGCACACCTTGGGACTAGACTGCTGTTGCAAGTCTTTATGACAGGCACTTGTATTTCTATGTCAGGAAATTAGTGCAGCTAATGCTAATTCTTCTGCAGTTAATGCTAATTCTTCTGCAGCTCATGCTGATTTTTCTGCAACTCATGTGAATTCTTCTTCAATTAATGCTAAGTCCCGTGCAACTAATGCTAATTCCTGTGCAGCTAATGCTCGTCCACATGTACAAGCACACAGACGAGCCCAGGCTAATATCCAGCATGTACTGACACGTACTCGCATTTCGGTGTGCGTGTCTTCCCGCATTATCGCCAAACTGCCTATTTTAAGGAGACTCTGCTGTGTCCTAATCACTGGATGTTCTTCAGCTTCCTGTGACCCGTGTTCCTGTTTGTACTGACTGATCTTCCATTGCTGACCCAGCTTGCTCCTGACCTTGCTCTGTGGATTCCCGGATTCTGACCTCGGCTTGCCTTAGACTACTCTTTGTCTGATCTTCTGGTGCTGACTTCAGCTTACCTCTGACTATTCCCTGCTTGATCTCCTGTTGCTGACTTTGGCTTACCTCTGACTATTCCCTGCTGGATCTCCTGGTGCTGACCTCAGCTTGCTACTGGACCTCGCTCTGCTTGCTAACCTGGTACTGACTCCAGCCTGCCTCCTGACCACACTGCTGTCTCACTGTGTATGATCCTGGCTCACCTTGACTACATCCCTGACCGTGGCACTCACCTGCTACCAAGCTATCGGCACCCGTGCTTCATTGAGCCTTGTACCTCTTTCACTGCATTCAGGGGTGCTCAGAACACAGCCACAAGGGAATCCCTCTTGTCAACTTGGCCTCCAACCAAGGTACGTGACATTCCACTACATATTGGTTACCAATTGTCTTTTTCAGTAATAAATATCAGTTTTTGCTACACTTAGATTGTGCCTTCTGGTGTTCTTTTTTTCATGTTTAATAAGGTTGGATTGTGGCAATCACCTACTACCAAGCTATCAGCACCCGTGCTTCATTGAGCCTTGTACCTCTTTCACCACATTCAGGGGTACTCGGACTAGAGCCACAAGGGAAGCCCTCTCGTCAACTCGGCCTCCAACCAAGGTACGTGACATTCCACTACATATGAGTTACCAGTTGTCTTTTACACTAATAAATTTCAGTTTTTCCTACACTTAGATTGTGCCTTCTGGTGTTCGTTTTTTCATGTTTAATAAGGCTGGAGTAAAGCTCAAGCTACCTAAATCAATCCAAAGCTATTCTCTATTATAAACATACTCTTGTCAATCTGTGTAGATTTCAAGCTAACTTTATCCCCTTATTCAGTTATTCATAAGGTGGTAATGGAACAGCTTTCGTTGGCTTGATTGTTGGTGAGTTTCACTGAAATGCTTTATTAAAGAAAACACGAGCAAGGTTACATTTTGCAGTTTCCACCTCTCATTCATCTCTCTTCACCATTATTTCTCAAGCACAGTCAAGATGAAATAAACAGGATTAATAATGTATGTGTCCTTTTAAATGTGCAAGTTTTCAAATGATCCACCTAGTCTTTCTGGTCATTGGCTCGGTGCTGCTTTCATTTTCTGTCTACTTCAATTTCACCCTGTGGGTGAGCGCTTTAAAATATACATTTCACACCTCTTTATATGACGGAAAAGGGGAGCAGAACATTTCAGCTCTGCCCTTCTGTTTGCAGAGGATAGTTTTCGCTCAAACACTTGGCCTGATGTGGACTGAACATTACTTATGTCACACTTATTCCATCCTAAGTCTTTAATTAATATTCATACCGTGTAACTTACATGTTCTATTAATACACTGGCAAGTAACAGGGAAGCCTTTCATGAGAATGTTTTCATATAATCATGGCGTGGAAGGAAATCTTTTGCTGAATAACACATGTAAAGCAAGAGTTATAAAAATCCGCAGTCCTGGTTTATTTCAATTTAAAAAAACACGTTCGGCAATAACGGACCCAGAGCCATCTCTACACATCCTATGAGTTAAATAGTTTACTAAATTATATGGTTTTATTCTGTTTCTAAATAAATACAGTTCTATAAACCTTGTATTTTCTTCTTTATTGATCTCTCTTCTCTCTGTACATGGTATGCAATACGCAGTGAGTGGATCAGTCACTGTGGTGTTGGGAGGAATCACTTCTTCTAAAAAAATAAACGTTGGGTAATTTTGTTTTTAACCACTTGCCCTCCTGAGGATTTACCCCTCCCAATATGTGTAAATTATTATTTTTTTAAGTCCGCGGAGGTGTGAAAAAAACGAAAAACCCGTAAGTGAACAAAAAAAACGTGGACTTTTTGTTATTAAACATGTCCAGTAAAAAAGTTTAAAGAATCAAATTTCATCATAAATTTAAGCCAAAATGTATTCTGCTCCATGTCTTTGCTAAAAAAAATCCCAATACGTGTAAATTAATTGGTTTACATGAAAGTTATAGTATTTACAAATGGCAGTATAGATACTGGGATTTTTTTTTTGTACTAGTAATGGCGGCGTGATCAGTGACCTATAGTGGGACTGCGGCGGACATTCTGACACTTGGGGGGAACTAACTTGGTGTCACTGACATCCCCAGTGACACTAAAACAGTGATCAGTGCTAAAAATAAGCTCTGGCACTGTACTAATGACACTGGGCAGGAAGGGGTTAACATGAGAGGTAATCAAAGGGTTAACTATATGTAGGGAGTGTTTTACTTCACGGGGGGGGGTGTGTGCTTCACTGTAAGCACACTGATCCGGATGGCTGTGCTGTGCACAGCCATCCCAAGCAGTGTGCCTAAGGTGACGGGGAGGAAGACTGTAAACAAAACAATCTTCTTCCCCTTCGGAGATGCTCGGTAATCACCAGGTGCCGGCGGGTAATTACCGGCTGTGACCCGGTGATTGACAGCCTCAGCCGCAAATGGTGGCGCAAGCTCCCACTACCTTGAAATGCAAAATCATGTATATATACATGCTTTTGCGGACCAGTGCAGCCCTGTAGCAATAGTAGTATTTCTGCTATAGGGTGGCCGGGAAGCGGTTAATGACTCATGCTGACTATTTATTACCAGGATAGATTCATCTTTTCTGTAATCACTTAAGCTGCATTGCAGACATGTGCGGTTCATTTCATTCCAAATCACAATTCAGACAAAATTTTTGTTATTCTGAGACTCGGATGTGTCTGAATTTCCAAATTGAAATAGTAATGAATTTAAATGAATCCAAAATAATGAAATTAAATTGGAATCAAATCGAATTGCTGATTTACTGAAAAAGACTATGTGTAATAATGTTAGAATATAGCTGTCTTCTGAAATTTGAATTTTGAAAAGAATAGAATAGAATAAAACAGAATAGAATAGAAAAAATGGAATTGATTTGAATAGAATATAATAGAGTAAACCAGAATAGAAGTGAATAAATTAGAAGAGAAAATAAAGGAATAGAACAGAACAGAATAGAAAAAAAATAGAATAGATTTAAATAGAATAGAGTAAACCAGAATAAAATATAAAATAAAAGAACAGAAAAAGTAGAATAAAAAATAAAGGAATATAATAGAAAATAGAATAGAATAGAAAATAAAATAGAATACTGTAGATTAAAACAGAATAGAATATAACTGTCTTCCGAAATTCGAATTTTGAATAGAATAGAATCAGCTATTCTTCACAATGAATTCAGATCGATTCGATATTTTCATCATATTGGTCTGGCCAATGAAAGCAGAAGCTGGCCGCTAGATGATGCCAGCAGCCAGCAAGGAGGTCCAAGACATCCCCCAGGGACATGAAGAAGCTAAAGTTCCACTTTAAACTGCATTGAATTTCCTTGACCAGATGCAAATTATTGCACCTAAAAGCAGGGGCGGACTGACAACTCATGGGGCTCTACGTACTGATTGGAATCAGCGTCTTGGCTGTACTCTACTCATATGGACTGTAATATAAAAAAGAAACCACAAAGGAAGAAATATGGACTACTTTCTGACTATGATGAAAACATGGAGATGGGATCCATGGGTAGTGATGAAGAGAAAATCTTTGAATCCCAAAATATAAGAAGGTGATTAGTGACAGCTTTGTGCCTCATAGTCTACTTACGATTCTAAAGCCCAGCCTTCTGTCCTTGTGATGGCACAGGCTGATTTGTGCAAGGTCTGTGCTTTGAGGGGACATGAGCAGGGGCAACTCATGGGGCCCCCAGGCAATAGGGGATCATGGGGCCCCTGTGTCCTTGCCCAAACTCAAAAAAGCCTATGAAAAAGGTACCAGGGGCATCTCAAGGGGCCCCCTACTGACCCCGGGCCCTCGGGCAGTGCCAGAGTTTCCAAATGGTCAGTCCGTCCCTGCCTAGAAGAGACTATGGGGAGATTTAATAAAACTGGAGAGTGCAAAACCTGGTGCAACTTTGCATAGAAACCAACCAGCTTCAATGAAGAAGCTGAAGTTAGAAGCTGATTGGCTCTCCCGATTAGTTATACAAGTAAAAATGTTGAAGTAATTATAGCTGAAATAAAACATGGCTTGCTTAAAAGAATGATTCATTATTAGTGTTGAATAGTTCCTATAGGTCTAAATTATTTCTGGAGCGTTACATGATCCCTTTAGTAATTTCTGTAACCATAATGAGGAGTGCACAAAAGCATCCAGGGATATGCATTTCAAGGATAGAACGCAAATTGTTATAATGTGTTTTGATTAATACATTAACTCTTGGCTGTATTCAATTTCCATATATCCTCCTGCTGAAAGAGTTCTGCTTTGCTTTCTGATGCTTTTCTAAGTGTCTAACTGTTCTATGAGACATCAGTGAAAATTGTAGGTTTTAAAAGCATATAAAAGCTTTTGTGGATGTTCAATGAATATAAAGGCCTTGTAGAAGTGCTGTAAAAGTTTCTTATTTTAGGTAAATTTATTTATTTCAGATAATTATATAACACCATCAATTTATGCAGCACTTTACATATATATTGTACAATCACATCAGTCCCTAACCCTCAAGGGGGCGTACAATCTAAGGTCCCTAACTTACATTCATACATATTAGGGCCAATTTAGACAGGAGACAATTAACCTAGATTGTAAGCTCGAAAGAGTAGGGCCCTCTTACCCTGTTTGTTATTGTTGTACTGTGCCATGTATTGTCCCCCCCCTATTGTACAGCGCTGAGCAAACCCTTTGGCGCTATATAAACTCGATGTAATAATAATAACCTACCAGCATATTTTTGGAGTGTAGGAGGAAAACCGGAGTACTCAGAGAAAACCCACACAGGCACAGTGAGAACATGCAAACTCCAGGCAGGTGTTGCTGTGGTTGGGATTTGAACCAATGACCCTAGTGCTACCAGGTGGAAGTGCTAATCATTTAGCCACTGTGCTGTATACATAAAGTAGCTTGCATTCTTTGTCTTTTATATTGTTTTACTCTTCTAACCTAGCTGTTCTTTACCTTTTGAACATTTATTTTTCTGAATGCAATATACACATGTGAAAAAACCAATAAGCCTAAAATGTATAGAGGCGTATGAAAGGGAACTATTACTAGCACTGATATATCCCAAAAAAAAAGTTTGTGCGTGTCTGAAATGTTGTTACATAAAGTTATCTTATAGTCAAATGTTAGCATTAAGCTTTATTATTTATTGTTTTGTGCATGTTTCTTAAGCTTTTATGTTCAGAACAATTTTTTTTTCCCGTAAAATATAAAATAATGCACATAGATATTTCAGTTCCAGCCAGCAGGTGGAGTCCTACACTTATTTTCACATGTTTACTTGGCTAGCCTTAGCTGCTCTGTTAAAAAAATAGTGTTCACAGAACTACTCGGATACAGCTACCATGATGTTGTACAGAAGTGTAGTGCTGTGAAATACAATGCAAGTGATTAATGCAGATTGTGAACACATATGTTGTAATTAAAATGACCATTCAATAAAATAAATAAGTGTGGATGTAAAAAAAACAAAACAAAACACACATACTGTATATATATATTTGAACACAGGCACAATTTTTTCCCATTTTTTTAATCAGCTCTGGACCTTTTACCTGCTTAATTGATGAAGAAATAACAAAGGAGTAGCCCACACCTGGCCATGAAACAGCTTTTACTGTTACTTTTGGTCCCTTGAAAAAGGGGGGATGGCTACTATTATTATTATACAGGATTTATATAGCGCCAACGGTTTGCTCAGCTCCTTGGAGCTTACAATCTAAGAGCTGTAATTCCTAAACCCTTCCTCCAAGTTGGATGTACATACCCTGAAATTAAACCTGAGAGTGTGCACTTTCAGCCCATATCCATTAAATAACTATAGCTTGAACAGGGGCGGACTGACAACTCATGGGGCCCCCGGGCAATAAGGGATCATGGGGCCTCTGTGTCCTTGCCCAAACTCAAAAAAGCCTATGAAAAAGGTACCAGGGGCATCTCATGGAGCCCCCTATTGACCCCGGGCCCTCGGGCAGTGCCCGAGTTTCCAAATGGTCAGTCCGCCCCTGAGCTTGAATATGTTTTGGTCAATACCTGAAAAAACTAAAATTATGTCTGTGTCCAAATATATATTGTTTCAATGAAGAGTCAGGAGAAGAAAAGGAACCAAAATTTTACTGAGTGCAGCAGAGGAGGACATCGGTCAGTCCCAAAAGCCTTTACCCTTCTATGCAAATGAACTGCACACCACCTCGGTGTTCCCAATGCATTTGTGTGTATGGAAATAAAAGCTATTAGAAGGATTTTGAGCTTTATTCACTTTTTTCAACACACTGCTATTATTTTGAACACAACTGTATATAGTACAGTCACATCAGTCCCTAACCCTCAAGGGGGCGTACAATCTAAGGTCCCTAACTCACATTCAGACATACACACAGGTATAGGGAGAATCCCAAAAGGAAAACAATTGTTTGCTGTAACTACTTATAAAGCGTGAGCTAGAGTTCAGCTTCAATTTGTTAGTGTATCTAGATCTGCTAGTACATCGAACACTCCCCTCTCCCCAGACTGACAATGCTGCTGTTCAATGGTGCCCCCTGTGCTCCTTCATCTAGAGTGGAGGTACTCTGATACAGGAGGTGTGTTACTGGCTAGATCACCATGTCAAAACACAGGGAAAAAGCCTAAAAAAGAAAACTGATGCAGACATGACATCTATTGATTGGTAAGCTGCAATATAATACATTCCTGGTTTGGGGTTTAATACCGCCTTAAGGCTTGATAAGTTGCAATATATATAATTTTTGTTTTGCGGTTTAATATGACTTTAAAAGAAATCCGTAACAATGAAAAGCTAGAAAATATCATTTGAAATAGCATTAACCTGTTTAAGCTTGTATGAGTTTTTAGTGATTGTATTTAGATCTATTAAGACAGATATATATATAAAATCACAGTATATACAGCTAGGACCATATATATTTGGACACAGGCACAATGTTAGATTTTTTCAGGTTATTACCAAAACATATTCAAGCTAAAGTTATATAATGGATATGGGCTGAAAGTGCACACTCTCAGGTTTAATTTGAGGGTATGTACATCCACATTTGAGGAAGGGTTTAGGAATTACAGCTCTTGAGAGTAGCCATCCCCCATTTTTCAAGGGACCAAAACTAATTGGACAAATGAATATACCGTATATACTCGAGTATAAGCCGACCCGAATATAAGCCGAGGTACCTAATTTTACCACCAAAAACTGGGAAAAACTATTGACTCGAGTATAAGCCGGTGGTGTCAGTGGGGGCAGGAATAGTGCCCCATCGTTGGTGTCAGTGGAGGGAGGAATAGTGCCCCATCGTTGGTGTCAGTGGGGGGAGGAATAGTGCCTAATCGTTGGTGTCAGTGGGGGGAGGAATAGTGCTCCATTGTTGGTGTCAGCGGGGGGGAGGAATAGTGCCCCATCGTTGGTGTCAGTGGGGGGAGGAATAGTGCCCCATCATTGGTATTAGTGAC